CCGGGGGGGGGGGGGAGGCCTCTGAGGAAACAGCCAGCACCGGGCCTCCGCAGCCGCGGGGCTCCCACCGAAATCGTACAACTGCCTTCCGCGAAGCAGGCCGGCCCAAAGGAGACGGAGAAAGGGGTTTTCCAGTCCCGCTGTCCCCCAATAAAAAGCGATGCCTTCAAGGTCGTCTCTGCTGACTCAGGTAGCGTTCCCTTTAGGCTGAGTTCGCGTGAGCTGGCTCACAGTTTCTTAGCCTCCGCCTCACTCGTTTTTGTCTCAGCGCAGGGAGGAGGGCTCCAGAGCGAACGAATTGATGCGGGAGCCAGATCCCTCGCTCACAACTTGAATGCCAGGAGCTCGCAAAGTCACGGGATTTCTGCTCACAAGACTCCACAGCTTAGAGGGAGCGTTGAGCAACATTGCCCCCTTTTGTGCGTGTGTGTTTCGAAGGGTATTTGAGAGCAGCTCACAAAGTAGGGTTTTTTGCCCACCAGACTTTACAGCTTAGAGGGAACATTGGTTGACTGCATCAAGATGTTGACTGCACCAAGATTTTGGCTTGGAAATATCCTCCCTCCCTCCCATCCCCCCAAAAAACATTCCTTCCCCCCGAGTCGAGCGCTCCTCGTGTCTACTTGGGGAAGACGACCCGGAACGGGTTTCCAACCCCAGCGAAACAAAAGGCGTGTGGGCGACAGGCCCAGCGGCGGCCTCCAGTCCGGACGGGGAAGCGAAGGCCCCGCAGCCGACAAGGGCAGATCTGGGCCCGGCTGGAGCCCCCGCGGGGAGCGCTTCTGGCCCGGCCGCTCGAGGCCGCCTCCCCTCCGCCGCCTCCCCGGCTTCTCTCCTCTCCAGCTGCCGCTCCTTCCCCCCCTCCGAGGCTTTTGTCTCCAGCCAGACAATAGCAGCCGGCCGCGGCGGGGAAAGAGGGGGGGGGGGGGACGAGCAGAGGCGAGCAGAGGCCCGACCTGCTTCTGAAAACGTCTCGCAAGAATTAAAAATGATACATTTACAAAGTGGGGCGGGCTCTTGGACGTTCCCCGGGCTGCGGAGCTGGGGAAAGAAAGAAAGAAAGAAAGAAAGAAAGAAAGAAAGAAAGAAAGAAAGAAAGAAAGAAAGAAAGAAAGAAAGAAAGAAAAGGAAATAGAAGGAAGAAAAGGAAATAGAAGGAAGGAAGGAGACAAGAGAGATGGAAATAAAGCAAATAGATGGGGGAGAAGGAGGGAGGAGAGAGGGAGGAAAGCAAATAGATGAGGGAGGAAGGAAGGAAGGAAGGAAGGAAGGAAGGAAGGAAGGAAGGAAGGAAGGAAGGAAGGAAGGAAGGAAGAGGAGATATGGAAATAGAGCAAATAGATGGGGAGGAAAGAGAGGAAAGAAAGAGTAAGAGGAGAGGTGGAAAGAAAGGAAATAGATGGTGAGAGAAGGAAGGAAGGAAGAGGAAAGATGGAATTAGAGCAAATAAATGGGGAGAGAGGAAAGGAAGAGTAAAACGAGAGGTGGAAAGAAAGGAAATAGATGGGGAGAGAAGGAAGGAAGGAAGGAAGGGGAGAGATGGAAATAGAGCAAACAGATGGGGAGAGAGGGAGGAAGGACGGAAGATGGAAAAGGAAGGAAGGATTATAGAGGAAAAAGAAGGAAGAGGTTATGGAGGGGAAAGAAGGAAGAAAAGATCAGCTCCAGCCTTTTATTTTTAGAAATCCTCGGGATCCCCCATCTAGGCCCGCATCGAGGGGAATTACATTACGAGGACACCCCCCCCCCTTCCCTCCGCAGCAGCCGCCGCTCTCCAGCCTTTGCCGGTCTTCCATATGCCCAGAAGGCTGCTGCCCATCACGGTGCTCATTACGATGTCGCCCCGCACCCGTTCGGCGCGGAAGTTCCCCGGCAGGCCCCGCCACCCACTTCCGCTCCCAGTCGGGGCCCCCACCCACCCCAAACCCTATCAGCCCCAGCCGGAGGCCCCGGTGAATCCAGGGCGCCCCGGGCGACAGGCCCACCAAATCTCCCTCCCGTCCCTTCTGTGGCCACGGGCGGCTGCGGTTCCAATTACTCCAGAGTAGTCCCATGAAGGCCCATGTCCTCCGGGCCGTTCCCTCTTTCCCAGGAGGGGAGGGAGAGAGCGGGTCGTGGTTCCCACCTGGGAATCAGCGACACGTGTCGGAGGCAATGCTCCCTCTAAGCTGTGGAGTCCTGTGAGCAAAAATTCTGCTCTCTAAACCGCTGGCATTAAAGTCGCGAGCCAGCGACTGGGCTACTGCTTCAGCGTTTGTTGTCTGGAAATAGACATCCCCACAGACTTCAGAGCTCGTAGATTCAGTTAGCTTATTCACAGGTATATTCCCAGTGACGGGTTTCGTTGTATCGTTCCTTAGGACTGCGGGAAAAGGACCCAATCAGTTAACACGGGATTCTGGGGGTTTTTTTGGGGGGAAGGCTCAGAATCCTGTGTTAACTGATTGGGTCCTTTTCCCGCAGTCCTAAGGAACGATACAATGAAACCCATCGCTGGGAATAAACCTGTGAATGCGCGAACTGATGTCTACGTGGAATTTTGTGAGCAAAAATTCTACTCTGTGAGCCACTGGCATTAAAATTGTGACAGCGAGCGATTTGACTACTGCATCAATGAGTTTGCTCTGGAGCCCTCCTTTCCTGAGCTGAGACAAGAATGTGTGAGCCGGAGGCTTAAAAAAAAAACCGGTGGGCCGGCTCACGCCAACTCAGCTTAGAGGGAACACTGCTCTGGAGCCTTCCTTCTTGAGCTGAGGCCCAAACGTGTGAGCTGGAGGCTAAGAAACTGTGAGCCGGCTCACGACAACTCAGCTTAGAGGGAACACCGCTCTGGAGCCGTCCTTCCCGAAGGCCACAACGTGTGAGCCGGAGGTTAAAAAACTGTGAGCCGGCTCACACCAACTCAATTTAGAGGGAACCCTGCTCTGGAGCCTTCCTTCCGGAATGAAGGCCCGAACGCGTGAGCCGGAGGCGAGAAAGACCTGTGAGCCGGCTCTCATTCAGCTGAGAGGGAACCCGTGTCGGAACACTCCCACGTTACCCGGGCGGTGCTGGGGAAGGAAGCGCCTTACCTGGACGTCCTCCATGCCGGGGTGTCCGAGGCCGTGGAGCGAGAGGGCGTCCCCCATGCCGGAGTCCAGGCCGTGGTGGGCGGAGTGGAGCAGGACGTCGGGCCGCCGGACGGCGTGGTAGTCCCGCCGGGGGTCGAGGCCGGAGAGCTGCGGCAGGGAGGCCCGCGGCTGGGGCAGGAGCGAGCCGGCGTCGGCGCCCACCTCCTGGCGCTGCCGCTGTCCCCCTGGGTGCTGCTGGGGCTGGTGGAGGGGGTTCAGGGCGTAGGGGTCGTTGACGTGGGAGTAGGGGTCCTGGCTCTGGTGGTAGGGGAGCGGCTGGTAGGGCGGCGGGAAGTAGGGCGGCTGGAAGTCCGACGACGGGGTGTGCGAGAGCGGCGGGGCGCTGGAGTAGGGCCCCTGCGAGACCGAGCCCAGCTGCGAGAGGCGGGAGCTGTGTCCGGGGACGCCGTCGTGCCGGTCCTGCAGGGCGGAGACAAAGCGGGAGAGAAGGTCGAGTCGAGCAGCCAGTCCGCCGCCCGCCCCGTCCCGAAGAGGCGCAGCTAAACCCCGTTTCCCCCTCGCCTCGGGAGCGGCTAGTAGAGTGCCCGCCGAACAACCAGCGAAGGTTGGTCCGTGGCAAACCTTCTTAAGAGCCCCGTTTCCCCCTCGCCTCGCCTCGCCTGACGACCAGGGAAGGGGCAAAGCCATTCCACCCTCTTGAAACTTTCCAGGACAAACGTTCTCCAAAACCCGGTTTCCCCCTCGCCTCTGGAGCTAACTAGGACGCCCGCCTGACGACCAGGGAACGGGGGGAAGCCGTTTTCTCCTTGACAAACCTTCTTTAAAAACCTTGTTTCTCCTCGCCTCTCTGGACCCACCAGCATGCCAGCCTCGAGACCGGTGGAGTGGAGGGCGAAAAGCCTCCCACCCCACCCCCCAAATCTTTCCACGATAAACCTTCTTTAAAACCCTGTTTCGCCTCGCCTCGCCTGGCCTGAAGACCAGGGAAGGGGAAAGCCATTTTCTCCTGGACTTTCCAGGACAAACCTTCTTTAAAACCCTGTTTCGCCTCGCCTCGCCTGAAGACCAGGGAAGGGGAAAGCCATTTTCTCCTGGACTTTCCAGGACAAACCTTCTTTAAAAACCCGGTTTCCCCCCTCGCCTCTTGATCCACCAGGATCTTGATCCACCAGGATCTTGATCCACCTAGAAACCGGTGGAGTGGAGGGGGTGAAAAGCCATTTCCCCTTTGCCTTTCCCCTCGAGCCTTCGTTGCAGAAGGAAGATTGGAAAGCCGGCCTAGAAAAGCGCGACCGAGGAGTCGATTTGTCTGCCTTTTAAGCGTGGGGGACGTTTAAAATACGGACCTTTCTCGCGGTTTTTCTTTTTTCTTTCTTTTTTTTTTAAAAAGCCAACGTTCAGCCTTTCCCAAACCATACCTCCTTCCTTTTCGGGAGCAGGATAGAAAGTTTACCTTTGGAGGGTGTTGGGGTAAAGTTATGAAAAGCCTGGGAACAAGGTGGTATGTATACCCCCCACCCCTCGAGCACAACCGAAAACAAAACCGAACGAAAACAGCCACCGTTGGCACTCCTGCTCCGAATTAATCCGAATCTGTCGACGTTTAATAAATTTAATGACGAACCCCCCTCCACCCCCCAAAAAATAGGACTTGGGGATTTCCCAAAATAAAATAAAAATAAAACTTTAACGGAACAGGGTTTTAAAATGGAGTTTTTTGGTCCTGATGAATAACGGACTCCATCCGAAGCGAAGCTGTGGCTGGAGAGACATACCTACACACCCAAGCGATTCCTCAAAGGGTACTCGAAATCCCCAGCAGCAAGGTATTAAAAACAAACAAAAAAAACCCTTCCCCCCCTCTCCCCCACTCCTCCTAGCTCAAACCCGAGAATCCACCGCGCAAACCAGAGAATCGGCCGCCGGCCGCCTTGCAGTGGTTGTACTGAAATGGCCCCGCCGAGGGCGAAGGAGGCCGAGAAGGCAGCCGAGAAGGCGAGCGAGCGAGCATGCATGCCACCGCACAAGACAAACGTGGACCCCCGACTCACCATGGCGGCGGCGTAGGTGTGGACTAACATCTGGAATTTAAAAAAAAATCCCAAAAACTCTCGAAGCAGTTAAAAGAAAAGAAAAAAAGAGAGGTAATAATAGCGCTAGAACGCCGAATAAGAGACAAACACAAAAAAAAAAAAAAAAAAAAGAGGGGGGGGGGGAGAGAAAACACCTTTCAAGGAATCTTGCGGAGGAGCCCCGGAGAACAGCTCGGGGGGCTTCCGAGTCTCTCCATCAAAACAATAAAAAAAGAGAAGCCAGTGAGTGTGTGTCCTCCCCCCGCCCCCCCGCCCAAGCGGGATCGCAGTGCCGAATCTGTATTTGGAAAAGGAAAGAAAAAAGCCCTCCTCTCTATGGTTCCTCTCTCTCTCTCTCGCTCTTCCCCCCCACACACACCCTCCCCGCCTCGAGAGTCCACAGGCAAATCCTCTTCAACCCAAGGCGAGGTTCAGACTGCTCGCCTGCCCCCGTCCTCCTCCTCTGCCTTCCTCACGCCGCCTCATCATAATTGATATTCATGACTATTAATATTACACGAGGAGTTTAGAAAGGGGGAGAGGGAGAGAGAGAGAGGGAGAGAGAGAGAGAGACGCGGGGGCCAAATGGAGCGTGAAGGCTCTCGCCGAGGAGGGCTCCAGAGCTCCCCTTTCCCGTATTGTAAATGACGTTCATTCAGGGGAGAATTACTAGATGTAATCAGACGCAAGGGGGGGGGGGCTGGCGGAGGCAGAGTTGAGAGAGAGAGAGAGAGAGAGGAAGAGAAAGAGAGAGAGAGAGAGAGAGAGAGAGAGAGAGGAAGGGACCAAAGGGGGGGGAGAGAAAGAGAGTTGGGGGGGGAGCAGAACTTCAATTAACTGGCTGGCGTGTAAACGAGGCGCTGGTGATTCGAAGCAAGGGAAACCGAAGGGGGGCGACGCCGGAGGGGGGGGGAAGGGGGGGGAGGGTCGGACCCCCCCCAATCATATTTCCTTTTCCTTTTTTTCTCCCCCCCCCTCCCCGGTGTTTTTTTTTTTTAACATTTAATTATACATTCCAGCGACGAGAGGAAATCGATTGCCCTCGGTGCTTTGTGGTTCTAATTTTTAAAGCAAATAATAAACCCGGGGCGTGGGGGAGAAGGGAGGGATTCTCGGATCTTGTCGAAGGCGAAAGTCTGCGCCCGTTTGTTTGTTTACAGGAGCGATTCGGGACTTCGCGGGGAGGGGGATCCGACTTGTCCTGATTCTGCAAAGCGATGGGTGTGTGGGTGTGTGTGGTGGGGGGGGGGGAAGGGGCGGGCGT